ATGTCACGCGTGAGTGCACGTCCGGCGTCGCCTGAACGATGCGCGCGCCCTGGGTCTCAAAGGTTTAATGTATTCCGCCGCGCAAAAGGGTGCATTAAATTAAGATGTTTTTTCGATTTGTGTTGTTGCTGGCGCAGGCATCCCATGGTCAAAATCTGGGCCAAGTTGGATCTGATCGATGCAGACAAAGGCTTGGAACCCTGTGGCAAGTGCAAGTGGGAGGGTTAATCACGTGCACGCAGAGTAGGGCGACGGCGCTAGCGTTTTGCCATTAGGCTTAAGAATCTGTATCTTTCAAGGAAAGGCGTCATTTGGAAAATTTTCCTCATTTTCCCAAAGGACGCTTTTCCTTGAAATTACATTTCCTGGGATGCCTGACTTCCAGTTTATACGAAATATATGTTCTGAATATCAGAAAAAATCTATATGAATCCATTGAGAATATTCTCACTATATTCATATCGATTATATATTGAATGATACATGCCGTGGCTCGAGTCCGTTTTCAATTTTTTCCTATAATTGCTGTCGTACGCTTTGTTGTTGTTCTGGTGATGAATGGTATCAAAGCGCATGTCGTTAATGTTGCTATTTTGGCGGCTGTGAAGGTTTCCTGAAGCAACAATACCAACTCCTCACGCATCTTGATATTGAATGTACCTGCAGAAGAATCTGGTGTTGACGGCATTATTCCTTAACCCTCTCTACCTCCTTTCCTTAACCTTTAAAGGATTTACAGGATTGCTGCGTCATGTTTTCGACTGTTTCATGGGTCAGCTTGTCGCATGCAAACGTTCGTTAGAGACTGGTTTGGAAACGCGGAGCAAGGAGTAATTCGTAGCGTTTCTACTGTCTAGCTTCCTAACTTGTTCGACTTTTAGGTCGATGCATCATAAGGAAATGCCTGTAGGTCAATGGCTTTGGCATGATAGGGGCACTAAATCCGTCCAACATCAGAAGTCACAATAATAAAGGATTTTTAGGTCGATCACAGAGTTATTTTCACGAACCTAACTCTTTCCGATTCTTAGATATTACAAGCGGTGAATGTCTGAAAGTATTAGAGTATCTGCCCATGTCTGCGCTTTCCCGAGAATAAATAAGTCCGAGCTTCGCGGCGATTGCGTCTTTATCCTTTATTTGAATCAGTATTCGGAGATCTTCCATTGTTTGTCGCCGTTTGACACGGACGCAATGGAACTTGCACTTCAGGACGCCAGAACATACTAATTAGCACATCGTAGGCGTCGACTATTGAGATGAATTTAAAAAGACTCAATTGTTGAAACAAGAGTTTTATTCACATGACTTTTTAGATTCTCATTCGAACCCTTCCTCGGAGATAGTCTCAGACAAAGAAAAGTAAAGCACAGGGAGTGCAGTACTTTAGGGTGAAGTTGTCCTTTGACCGCATACTTATCACAATTAGCAGCTCCACTATCTATTTCCTATGACCGCACTTGGTATAATGGTTGCTTGCTCGTCTGCATCGGATTTGTTAACTACTTTAATTTCATCATTACCGTTAATTATTGATTTAATAAGTACTCGTTGATTTGTCCCTCTAATTCTGCCACTAAAAACGTTGTTGGTTCGTGCACTATCCATCTGGCTACTTACTCGGACCAAGCCATTTTCCAGGATTGAATATGCGACGATACGATCACTATGATCGAGGTTCATGTGACTGTCACCTCTCGTGAGAATTTTGGCCTTTTCGAACTTAAAGATGTGGGAGGTTGCCGTCAAATAATTCGCGTGGTTCCTCATTGCTGCCGCCGCAGGTTCGGCCATCCGCTTCACGAGTAATTTACAAATTTCTCTGTTGCTTTGCTTGTAACTTCAAAAAGTTTGTCATATGACTTCAAGTTCCATCTGTTGCCACATTTTGTCTTTTAGTTTCAGTGGTTCACACCTGTTCGCTTTCAGTTGCTACTGACACATGACCTTGCCATCAAGAGTATACTGTTTTTCGTTTTTCAACACAATGAGATTCATGGCTGAATCATTGTCTTGATAGTTTTCATGATTCAAACAAGCGCTCACCCATTTGCCCTTCAGTTCAGGTTTTTGAAATTTTCAGACTGGTTGCAAGTATTGCGTGCGTACTTGGTAATGAAGTCAGCATATCAAGCTTTTAGTATGCAGATCCCACTTTGTGTTTGCTACATGTGGTCCTGGATACTATTGTAAGAACCTATTCTCTAAGTAATAGCGTTGGCTCGAGCACCTATATCTTTTTTTAAATTGTAGGTGCCACGATGATTTCCCCTGCCCCTTTGGCGTGTGCTTCTCGTCGTGGCATTCCGATTGCTGCGAGACGTTTTTTGTCAGTCGAGACTGTCCGTCGTAGACCCTACAGAATCCGGAGCAAAACCGCCTCACTTTCCGTCGTGCCGTCGAAGCTCTCGCCACCGTCCACTTTGCAGTCTATTTCATTGTTTCAGGAGGCAGATGATCTAAATGCGCCCGATCCTACAAGATATTGTCAGAATTTTGACGTGCGCACCAGTGTTAGAATACTGGAATCCTGGATTGAACGGCTAAATATTGATAAACAGCAACCAGCCTTCCAGGAATCTCGTAATCTTGCGTGTTTGGTGCCCAAGTAAGTAAAACCTTTAAGTTACTCCTGATTGCTGGTGGAAGTACACCAGCTAGCCTTTCTCCTGTGATGCTAATCTAAATCTCAAAATGCGTTTTCAGTTAGAAGGGCTTGCTGGGGCCGGGTCGTAATAATTGTTGTCGTACAGAACCATCCAAAAATATTTTAGTTACATCTACACCGGCTTTTGAATGCGCCTATTTTTTGGCTGCCCGCTTAAATTACATTGGTAAAATGACTACTTAAAAAGTGTTAGCTCTTCGGTGCTCTTATAAAGTCAAGTATAGTTTATGGAAAGTATTAAAGGAAGTGCCATTCCTTAGACCAACGCAGGCCTTCTTTAAACGTTATACCTAAAATGGGTTTATTTAAGTTTAAAACAACTTATTCAATTGTCCAGTGATTTGTATTCCATACGCAGTTGCACCTGGGTTTATGGTTTCAAAACAACACTATGCACACTTTCTCTTCACCGAAAGTCATTTATTACTCCACGCTATAAAGATATCATGTGACTCATAACATGTCGCAGTGGATACTGCTATACTGCTGTTAACTGCATAAACAACGTTAGCAAACGGACAGCTTCTACGAATTATAAACAAACGTCTCACGGCTTTAAAAAACCCTCATAATTTCAACAATTTAAATCTAAATGATATATCTTTTTTTTCAAGAATAAAAGTTAAAGATTTATCTTTTACCTTGTGAGTAAAAGGAAAAGAAGCATTTTGTACATATTTTCTATAAAATATAACTAAATATATAAGCGTACCGAATGTCAACGAAGCGAGGTAGGGCATAATGGGGCGAAACAATCTCGTAATCGATCGGTGGACGCCTATCTACCATTGCTAATTTTCTCTACCGAAACGGGCAAGAAAATGAGCCTGCGAAGTCGTGGGTTAGAGCGTTGGACTTTGCGGGTCCGAGCCTCGGGTGCCGCCACATCTAGGGTTCTGTGTGACCGGTTGTTGACGACTAAAAAGCCAGCAATGGCCATTCCAGCCTCCCTTCTTTGTGGGCAATTTCAGTCTGGCAAGATTCATAATGCTTGAGTAACCATTCCTTTCGAGTGTAGTTCATCCAGGAGGCCGAACAGACGCGCATTTAAATGCCGGCATCCTGGAACAACTGAAATGTATTTGGATTATGATGCACCGTAATCTATATTACAACCACACCTATGCAATCTTATTTAACCGAAAGTATATTTTAAACTTTCAGTTAACCTTAAATGAGATAGCCCAGCTACTGTAGATCCTATAAATACTGCTCGTACTTTTTGAAAGTAATTGTCATGTACTATTCTTCGTTTTCTGCATAAAAGTTGCGTAATTTGCTGGATGGTTTGTTTCCCGAGGACCTTCCTATTGTTCAATTTATCTGCTAGATTAGGTTGCCACATTGTGATTGTGACGTCGGACCTTCTAGTTTAGAGTTGCTTTAGTCAGCTCCTAGCGATAAATCATTACTTTTCTAACTTATCGTCAAGAACAAATTAAGTTTTCCGCAGCAGCCGATTTTAGGGCCAGCTCGTTATTAACTGCCGTTAGTAATCGCGTCAGCTGCATAATCACACTTTAAATTCTCAAATTCCCCCCTCGATCTATATCGAACAGCGCGGAAGATGGCACTTTGAGCCTCTTATAAGTACAGTAGTTGTGGTACTAGCAGCGCCTGTAAATGGTCCTTATTTCGCCAAATTTAATCCTATGTCAGGTTCTCTTGCAAATTGGAAATTTGCGCACCCAGGTTCACCTCCTAGTTGCAGAACTTAACAAATTTGACAAGAGGTATTTTTTAGCTTGGTCTTGTATACTTTTTGGAAGCTATGACATTAATGATGCCAAAGTCTCGACCCCACTATAAATCTAAGGGGGGGACTAAAAACGTCGCGCAAACTGGTCAACTTGTTAGCGGCCTGGTTACGAATAACACAGCAAAAAAATTGTTTCTGTTTATATTCTGTGTATGAGTGATTTAATTCTTTCCGACTGTCCCATTTTGGTAGCAATCCGTGTCTTCAAAAACTGGTGCAACTTGGTGCTGACCTCTCCAAGATGGAAAGCGTTCCAGGCGTAGCGAATATGCTTGTAAAAGCAGACTTTGATAAGATGATTGCACCGAAATTGTGGATTCTCTCCGATCGCGGATTCGACCTTTCTCAGGTCGCTCGAGTTATAAGCGTTTTTCCAAAGATATTCAAGGTATGTACTTTTACCTATATCCATCCGTTCTAGCTGGATACTTAGTTGCCTGACGAGGAGCTGATATCGCGAATTTCCCACTTTACTACACGAGGGTTTACCCCGGAGCAAGTGGTTTCCTTTCTGACCATCCATCCTCAAATACTGTCGCTGGAAAGTGTTGAAGTGGACCGCAAACTCCGTGATATTATTAACGTTTTTCACTTTAACGGTTTGCTTTCCTTTCTACTTATCTGACACCTATTAATTTTAGATTCAGACATCCACGCTGTTGTAGTCGGAGCCAGTGCGTGCATAGTTCAACCTCTACTAAATACGAAGGTTTGTTGATTTGTGGTTGAAGGCTTGTGGGGCTAGACGACGTAGTCCTAATCCATCTCTCTAATAATTACTTTCCACCATCGCTCCATTCAGAAACGCACATAGTACTGTGCGTTTGGAGCCGTCTATTTTCCCTATCCGCTAAACGTCGTCTCCTTTAATTTGCCCCGAACGTGTGCCTTTCGGTGCATTTATTTGTTACCACGTGTTGTTAAAAATCAGAATTTTGATGATCTGATAATGAAAAGGAGCCTTCAGACAGGATTTTCGGGCTAGATT